TCATAACGTAAGTCATGGAATGAAACTGTAATGTTGGTTTTCTCTCCATCTGTAGCATTTTGTTTCTGAAGGTGTTGCAGACAATGTCAACATCGATTCTGTATTTTAACAAGTTTTATTGAGAAAGTATTTTGTACACTTACAGTAAAGTTGAACAAAAATCACAGTCAGTCCTATAACCTTTCAACATCAAAGGGAGGAAAAAACGTTTCATAGCATTGCCACAATGAGGTGTAAGAGTCTGTCAGTAAAAAATAAAGCAATCATGAGTACTAACAAACCTGGCAGCTGTTGAGATCTAACTCTTGAAATTGAAAAAGTTTTCTTATGCGGAAATTAAATTCAAAATGTGTAATAACAGGAATGATTCAGTATGCAGTATGGTGTCATCATCAGTTATGTACATACTATATACTCATACTGTAGGCTTGCTTGTTTTATGGGCCTGCTGGGTATCCATAAGGCCTCTGCTGTACATTTTGCATTGTCTAATAGCTCTTAAAGATACTTTTGAATACCTCAAACCAGTATTTGGCAGTAAATAGGCAATACTTAATTCTGCTTGCAAGGAAAATGCTTGTTTAATTAACCAGCTGTGTGTTAAATGGAGCTTGGTCTTGTAAACAGTAACAGATGAAGAGCTTAATTATTAACAGCTAATTTTTTAAACTTACCTTCATTTGAAAGGGAGAGCTTTTTTAGCTCTCTTTTAGTGCATATGTGTTTCTCCCAGCAGCTTTTCTGCTTTCTGATGGTATCCGTCACATCAAAGGCCAGTTGCATATATTGGCCCTGATTTCCTTTACGTACTGAGTTGTCCCATAGCCCTGTGTGACTTCCTACTGTGAAACTGATCATAGAATCATAGATTCATAGAATCACTTTGGTTGGAAAAGACCTTTAAGATCATCAGGTCCAACCATTAACCTAACACTACCAAGCCCACCACCAAACTGTGTCCCTAAGCACCACATCTATAAGCATTTTTTGAACATCTCCAGGGATGGTGACTCCACCACCTCCCTGGTCAGCCTGTTCCAATGCCTAACCACTCTCTCAGTAAAGAAATTCTTCCTAATACCCAGTCTAAATCTTCCCTGGCACAGCTTGAGGCCATTACCTCTTGTCCTGTCACTAGTTACTTGGGAGAAGAGACCAGCACCGGCCTCACTACATCTTCCTTTTAGGCAGTTGTAGAGAGCAATAAGATCTCCCCTCAGCCTCCTCTTCTCCAGGCTAACAATCCCATTTCCCTCAGGTGCTCCTCATAAGACATGTTTTCCAGACCCCTCACCAGCTTTGTCACCCTTGTCTGAACTCACTCCAGGCTGTTTCTGTTTAATAAAGGAAATGTAAATAACAGTTTGAAGTTTCAGTCTGGTAGAACTATACAGTTGAGTAAGGAAAAAAACAAAACAAAAACCAAACCAAAAAAAAAAAAATCAAAAATGAAAAACCTGAAGCATCTTTAATCCTACTTATGCCATGACTTCCTTCTAGTTGAGCAGAAGGCTATATTTCTGAATTTTCAATTACATTCTTCTGTGTCAGTTTCTTCCATCCATTGCATGTGCTTTCCCTCCTTCTTCCTAAGTGGTTTACACTGCTGCTTCCTCTGTTTTATTCTCCTCACTACAATAGGAAGTGAGGAGTTGTCATAGCTTCCTGATGTTGAATCTCATACCTTTTCAGCATCGTCATTTTGTCAAATACCACTACTTAACCTTACTTTTATTTTGTCTTGTTTGTTATTTTATGTAATGCAATAGACTAGTCTTGCAGGGAAAAGGCTGTGTAGAAGTAGTAAAACTTTCTCACTTTGCATTGCACTTATCATTGATACTGAATTGTAGTGGACTCTGTGGGTTTAACATTTACACGCTTAGGATGGCAATTTCTATCATCACCAAGCAGGATGTGAAAGGAAGGAACAAAACTGTACTATGTCTGCAGCTTCTTAGAAGGGGTTTTTTTGGGTGGCTTTTAAGTTGCTGCTGCTTTTATCCCTTGCAGCTTAAAATACTGATTTGAATACTGCTCCTTCTATATAACTTCTTACAAGGAAAAGTAATGTAAATGGCAAGGCCAGCTGCATGAGAAGAAAGCGTAATGTTGTTGAGAAGGAAATTGAGTGACACTATTTAAAAAAAAAAGAAGACCTCCCCCATTCTTTCATTAGTTAACTTTTAATTTTCCTTAACTGAGAACTCTTTAAGCATAGCATAACGAAGTTGTCATTGTACTGCAAGAGCTTTGCTAGCTGGAGCTAACTGCTGCAGTTCATTTTGTCTTTCACATCTATTCAGATGAAAATGAGTATTGCTGCTGTTGTAGAATATTTGCTGTAATGATCCATCTTTAAAATTGTTAATTGAAATTTGGACTTTGTGTGGCAACAACAGCCTCAAGTAGTGGAAGAAAAAGCAATGCTAGCCAGAAGGAGCCTTCCTGTCTGCAAGTCTTTAATTCAGAACAGAAGTGGGAATAAGAATTAATATCACCCACCTTCCTGCTCTTATGTTTTAGGAAAAACAAGGAAGAGTACAAAGCATGCTTTTTTCCATGGGTTTAATGCAAAAGCATGTGGATGATCTTTTCTGGAATTTTTTTCTCTCAAGAAAATGCATGGGAGGCTATTGCTAGTGACTTCACCTGTCAGTTTTGCTGTACTCGTGCATTAAGCAGAGAAACTAGAGAAGTAATGTATTTGTTAAACTGGACCATACTTTCTCTCTGGCTGCTTCAATATGCCTTCTTCAGATGAAATAAGCTGCCTTTAAACAAAAAAATGAAATTGGAAATAACACAAGATGAGCTGTGCTAAGGTGATCTGATCTATGTTGATCTGTGTGCATACACCTTGCAGCTTGATTTGAATAATTGTCTTCCTAGTTGCTACTTAATTCTGTATCATCCTAGTATTTTGTTTCATGAAACAAAACCAAGAATAGTACTTGCTTATGAATAACACTTCTTTAGCGGGCCAACTTTCTGGGGTATCTCCCAAAGAAGCGAAAGTAGTAACAGAATTATGAAGAAAGCTTACCTAAAGCAAATGTGTAGGCATTAAAAACAGTGTTTGACAGTGCCCTGACCCAGCTAGACTTGCTTTATATCTGCGCCCCTGGCTAGCAGGTTTTCTTTTAACCTGGAACTCTCTGCTTATGTGCATTCAGTCCTCTATCCAGACAGTTAGCTGCCTTTGGAAAGAAGGTTACAAAAAAAGCCCTACAGATTTTAGGCCATCACAGAGTTCGATATCCATGCCTTCAGAATCTTCGTATAGTTTTCCCTGGAAGAGAAGCAGTATTCACTGACAAACATATGACCAACCCCTGACCTTACTGCCAGATTACTGAGTTTAGATCTGCAGGTTCATGATTTTCTTAACTCATCTTGGCTTGCTGTGAAACTCTTTTTATGGCTGAATGAGGCTGTTATTGCTTTATACAGGTAGTTGATTCTTACATCCCCATGAAATTGACAGTTACAAAGAATATTGTTAAATAACATGACTACAGCTAGACTGGTCCAAAGACAGAATAAAGAAGCTAACAGATTTGGTTTTGTATACTAAGCTTTTTCTCCCATAGAGCACACACAACATGAAATAAGCTCTTGTCTGATGGTAAATACCCATAATATCTTGACCTATCTGAATTATAAACTATTAGCCTTCTTGCTCTGTGTTCCTTTTCATCTTCAGTTCTTGCAGTTTGGAAAACAAAGCACATGCTGGCATTGCCATCTACACACATTTCTAAAGAATTCAACTATTCAAATGGGCTATGTACCAATTTCTAATTCTAGCAGCATTTGTTAATGAAATTTTGTGTAGTTCTGTAAAATAAGTCTCTCTAGATAACTGTGTGTCTCTTGTGAGAAGTGAAGAATTGAATGAACTGGGTATAAAACCAAAGGGAAATAGATATCGCCCCTCAAGAATAAAGTTTAGGCTTTACACTCCAAACTGTTTGTTCATCATAGTAGGCTGTGTATTACATTTTTTTAAAAAAAGCCTTAGTCTCAGTGCTACAATGAGAGGTCAGAGTTTACATATACTCTGCTAAGTCTACCTGCCAAGCTAAAAATTCTGCTGCTTTAAAATTATGCTAATTTTTATACAAGACAAGTTCCTGCTTCCTAAAACATGTCTAATGATTGTCATTCATTATGTATGCGGAGTTTTCCTTATAAAAATAAGCCTTACAATTAGGGTTAAATTTAGCTTGGTGTAAATGCAGAGTAAATTGGCTGAGTTTGAATTCACACCAACAGAATGTACACTTCAGTGCAGACTGTGATGCCTAATCAGTTGCTTCTGAGTGGAAAAAGCAAAATCACTTTTTTCCTGAGTGCTATGTACTAGAATACTTTTGAGTAGGGAGATTATTGCAATTGGTGTAATTTCTTTTTTGTATATGCTAAAGTTATTACTGAAGAATTTTCCTACCAGAACTTCCCTGCCAAATAGGAAACAGAGAGTATAATTTTCTAATCACTTTGCAGCATTTAAATAATATGCCCATCTCTAGAACTCATTGCACACAAATTTTAATAATCCAAAATATTGGTATAAAGGACTGGGGGAATGCCACTACTGTGCTTTAGGAAATTAAAAACAGCACTGGTTACTGTCCAGCTATCTAAAGAAATAATACGGTAGGAACAGGAAATGACAAAAACTTTTTAAACCTGTTTTGCATCATTAATTATCATAGTTTAATATTTTAAACAATAAAAAAGTTTGCATCACTTGATTGAAGTATTAACATAAGTTTGTAGAATTCCATACAGTATCTGCTAAATAAACAAGTTTGGCAGCCTAGCAAATATCATATGACTGCAGCATTCATGATTTGAATTGAAACAGTGATTTATTGCTCTGCAAAGAGTCTGTAAATCAAAACAGCACACTCCTGGGTTCTGGATGGTGTCTGACCTCAATGATTTTGAGGAAAATATTTTTAGTTTATGGTCCCTATGCAGTACTACCCAAATCAAACAATTGTCTCCTTTGAGTTCCTTTTGAGGGACTGCAGGCCCAGCAGGGACTGCTGGTTGGTGGGGATGTTGACAGACTTTGGGATTAGGAGTATCACCCGCTGATTGGTCCGCCGCCATTCATAGTATAATCTACAGTGATACCTAAAGGATACCTGGGAAGAGAAGAGGGATGCACTGTGTTTAGAGTCACTCTTGTCCTTCAAGGAAGCCGCTGGGGTCTGAGGAGAAATACCTTTGAGTGGAACAAAAAGCTGAGAAGCAGCCTAATTGGGTGGGATAAAAATGAGCAAAACATGGCAGGCAGAGATGAGACCTACCATGTAGGTGGTTTGCTCCCCAAGCTGCCACAGCAGAGAATAAAAACAGTCTGTGCCCTACTTTCTGCTGTTGCCTACCCCTCATTCCCTTTTTTATAACATGAAAAATCAGACATCTTGCCCCTGTCTTTCCCAAGAACTAGAATTATTGGCAGTCACAATGAGAATGAGTTTGGGGTTCTATCATGCTGCAAGCTGTTAAACTGACAAATAATGTAACTGGCTGGATGGTGAAGGCTTACAGGTAGCTAAGCTGTGTGCAAACACTGACAGAGTTGCATGTTCTACCTTGTAGTGCTTTGTTGCTGAATGCATCAAATTCAAGATAGCACAGATGCAACAAGGTGAGTGTAAGCCATCTGCCAACATGTGTGTATCTCCATTTAGTGTCTTTGAATTTTTTTTATTGTTATCAGCTAACCAATTTCAGCCTCAGTGTGGTTCTGCTAATAGTGGAAGAGAAATGACTGACTGCTATGGATATACAAGACAGCTTGGCCCTATATTTTTTTAAAATAGTTTACTACTTATTGTAGTGATAGCTAAGTGTAGTGACAGTTATGCCTGTGTAAGATGAAGTACACGTGCATTTTTTTAAAAAACAAAACAAAACACAAACCTGTAAACTGGCTTGGGACTTTTGGGTAAAGTGTGCCACATGACAATTACCATGTTCTTGAGACATAGGCAGCAAGGACCCACGCAGTGAGCACAGGAGGAACCTCGTCTTGTTAGCTATTCTGTCTTCATGTGCAGCTGGTCATTTATCACTGGATTTTACACACCTGTGCCACTTCTGTAAGTCAATGCTATTCAGAGGGCAGAGGGTGCCATAAGGGCTGAAGGTAACATGCTTGGTTTGTGCAGGTGGCTGGAAGATGCTGCTGACTCTGTTTGCCGGGAAGTGGCTGTGCATGCTCCTGTCAAAAGGGGCTGTGCTGCTTGCTTTTCTACCCCTAAAGCAATGACAGGCTGGCTGCGAGTAAGGTGTGGAGGGATATTAAATAATATAAGTGCCTATGAATGTATCCTTCAAAACCCTTTCCTTATTGCAAAAAGGGTGCTTTTAATTAAATAAATTACTTACGTTTCTATAAAATCCTACTACGGACAAAAAAAGACTTTCTGGGGGTTTTTTTTGTTAAATCTTTATACAGCTGTCTGCTATGAACGAGGGAAACCTATAGAGCTTTTTTCACTAAGCAGTTGCCCAAAGATAGTTCTTCCAGCAGATGAATTGATTCAGCACCTTTCAATCTCCTCTGCAAAATGCAGTGACTGCTTCAGAGAAGTAACCCAAAGTTTGAGTTTTCAAGCAGCATCACACGAGATTCTTTGAGGAATGGCGACACTGTTACACCAGGCTTTAACTGCTTGTTTGTTTAAGGCATGTTCACATGATACCCTAGTTACGTTTGACAGCTTGTTTACAACGGGTTCTTGCCTGGAGGCAGTTTCCAAGTGACATCAGCTACTGAATTTCAGCAGAGCTACGGTTACTCACCCTAAGCTGTTACACTGGATGCAAAACCTTTGAGATGCTGAACAAAGGCCAGATTTACAGTGGTCCTTGGCAGCTAAAATACTTTGTTTGCCTCTTTAATAGGATAGCAAGGGGGGTGTCTTATCTTTCTAACTTAATCTGAATTAATTTGGGCTAGCCTTTGTTTTAAACCAGCAGTTATGTTATACTGGAAGCTATAGGGCCAAATGCTTTTGTACTCCAACCTGCTACGTGATCTTACAGGAGTCAAGGTTACCCGCATGCAAGAGAAAGCAGACTGTTGCGCTGAATTCCTAGTTTAAACAGCAATCTCCGTTTTGGTCTGAAGCTTTCTTCTTGGGAGTAGCAGGGTTTTTCTTCTGTGTGTGTACATCACTTACAGCGATTAAATGCAGAGGAAAGGCAACAGCATTTTATGGAGAACTTGGTTGTTTTAGGGGAAGGGATAAAATAGCTTCTTAGATGCTAAAAATAGCATCTCTCCTGTTCTCTGCTCAGTAGGGTAACTGTTGTGTGTAAATAATCTATATGCCAGCTTTATTGGAAGTAAAATGAAGTTTTGGGTTTCTTCATTTTCCCAGGACCTAAAGGAGCATTATATCACATGCTGTGTGTAATTTACCCCACAGCACTCCATGTATTCCCTGCACTGCCATAACTAAGCCAGCAGTACAGGATTCTACCATTTCTGAAAGCTAAAGGGCAGATGCTGCTGAAGTGCGTGGGTCCATTACTTGCTGCAATGGAGCACGGAGCCTCCCCAAGGCACATGCAGGCTGAGGCTTTCCTGCATGACTGATGGGTCTCAGGCCACTGAGCAGAGAGCAGGCAGGGTGCTCAGTGCCACTTGTAAAGTTGTGGCCTTAAATCTCTACCTTGACCTTGCAAATTTGCCCTCTGAGAAAGTGTGTGAATACTGTCGCTGAAGCCTGTTGACTTGATCTGCAGATATACTTAAACCTCCTCAAAACTCTGCCATCAAGTACTAATGCTGTGAGGGCAATGAGGGTACCTTCTGCACTGTGAAAAGAACCTGAGAGTTCTTCCCACCAGTCTCTCTGCTCTGCCCACTGAATTAACCCCATGCTGAACCAGAGGGTTACTGTGCCCTGAAAGGCTTCCTGCCTTGCCCTTCACCAACAAACACACTGCTTCCTTAGCCCATCCACCTCCTGCTGGTCTGAATAATAGAAGAGAGTGGAATGACATCGTCCACAACTCGGTGGACATTAAAGATACTGTATTTCTACTAAATCAACCAAGATATGCATTTACATCAGGCTTACTATCACGATATTCTCCAAGTGCATGTAACACATTCCTCTGCACGTTTTTGAAAGGGTAGAAGTTAAAAAGTGAATAGAAGGGATTTTTGCCACTTACAACACAAATGCAATAGACAGTGTTAGGGACTACAATTGAGATGCTGCAGAAATCTTAATAAGCAAGGTCAGACATGTCCTTATGCGTCAAGGGTAATTAAACCCAACTACTTAGCCAGACTACCCTTTCCAACTTCCAACCATTTTGGTGCTTGTCAATTATGTATATTGGGTAAATAGGACAGCATTTGAGTTTCTAAGACAGCCATACACAAACCTTTGCTCAAATACCTGGCAGACATGTCTACACATACTGCAAGGAGTACAAGTGCCACCTCACTGCTGCAGTAAATGGCCATCCTGTCAAAGGGGAGTGCTGCTACTGCTGCTTCACAGAAAATGGAAGCAGAAACAACAAAAAGAGAAACTGCAGGAGGCTGAGACAAAACTCTGAGCTTTCCCTAATGTTGTGCGCTGCTAAAATTAGCCTGCAGTCCCTATGGATGAGACACGGTTTCACTGCTACGAATTAAATAAATGAGACGTTATCTTTCACAGCTTTCTTGAAGCTAGTTGTTAGGTAGTGTGGCATTTTTGTATTTCCCATCCTACCAAATCCCCTTTTCCAAGCTTACTCTGGGCACAGGGGCTTACTGCTGTGGGCCAGCTCTACTAATGCAGTTCTTAAAGTGCCACCTCCTCAGCAGCTTACACTGATCAAAAACTGCTGGAAGGGGTCAGCTATATAGCATGTGGCCATACCCACTGAGGTAAAGAGCTGGCCACTGGCCCTGTGGGCTTAGTGGCCATGCCAGCACCACAGGTGGGGTGCTGCTGCCCCCACTCACTGGCTCAGATGAGCTTTTCCTCTCTCAGCAGCACAGCCTTGCACCATCACACAAGCATTGCCTTGTTAGTGTGAATGCTCTCTATCTGCATCTGCTCTTCTGTTCTTCCTCCCCCACCAGGGCCAGAGTGTGAAAATGTCAAACTCAACAGTAACCTGGGGTTTTCAGCGAACTGCTAGACCACAGCTTGATAAACACTGATTTTGGCAGCTGTCCTCTGGGTTCTCTTCATTTCTGCTGGGCCAACTGTTTGTTGGTGAGCTGGGGCCAGGAACTGATCTCAGTTTAACAACTTGGTACAAAACAAGTGGTTTTTAGGATGGATCAGCACGCAAGTGACAGGACACCCGGGTGCAGCATGGGAACAAGGCAGCGATTTAATCTGCTCTGCGAAGGCAGCTACATTTCTACAGACCTGGGTGTAAGCTGTGTTCTTCTGTGGAGTTCCACAGTGCCAAGAGCACAAGAAATGGGGAAAGCATGGGCTGCACCCACATCCAAGGCTTCTGAATTGTAAAACTGGCCAGATGTTGGAGTGGAATAAAATCTGAATCCTCTGTGGCAGCCAGGTTATTCACCTGAAGCATTTTTGTGCACTGGGTCTTCACCTTTTGCACATTATCTTTCATGAAACTCACTTGTGTAGCATCTGTCTTGAACTCCTCCATGTTACTTCCTTGTCTCCCTTTTGCTAACCCCTCTGGTGTTCTGGATTTGGGAATTACTGACCCCAAAGGCAAACTGTCTTTCTGGTTTTCCAGAGAACTGAAACGGTGTGGAACCAAGAGGTTTCTTGAAGCTATAACTTAAATTTATCAGTACAGAAGGTAAATAAAAGCAATGCTTTGTACAACAGTCCACCTGCTCTACAGCACTCTGTGTAATTAATTTTCTGATTTGTTCTTTCCCTTATTCCTGTGAGTTGAATAGAAAAGCAATACTTACTAGGGTCCAAAAGAGGTAAATAGTGAAGAGTGCGACAGTGAGCGCAATGAGGCCAACAGCTTCTAGCCTACTACTAAAGTGCAGATGGTCCACTGCTCCTCGTAGACACAACCAGCCAGAGATGGTTGCCAGGGGAGTGATAAACAAGAAGCACACCACGTCTCCAAAGAGAGTCCGTTTCTCGTGCTGGGGGCCTGGGTTCCTCAGCCACTGCAGGCAAAACGCAGACAAAGCAAGTGTCAGCACAGGGAGGACATCCTACCCAAGACAAGCTCTTTGCTTGCAAAAAGCAGACCTGCCCCTTTGAGGAGGGAACACGGACCACACACAGGACGTGGCTTTGGCTGTCCCTAGAGAGCTCCCACCTCAACTTCTCCCCCTCACTGACTGCTGATGCGCACCTCTAGCCATGCGTACCTACTGCAGCTGTAGTAAAAGCTGCCTTGAGGAGGGGAAGTGTTTTGTGTAGCCCAGCCCCAGGCATTTGGCTGCTGAAGTGTTTGAGAACCTCCTTTCTTAATGTAGCAGACTATCCTTCCCAGTCTGGCGCATCCCTCCCAAGGCCCCCAGCGCTGAGTGCAGAGGCCATGATGAAGGCAAGAAAAGTTATGCTCCTCCAGGGAGCTACTGCATTATCTGTCATCAGCGCAACAAGAAAGCAAAGCCACTGCAGCTCTGTGCCAGCAGATGTCGGTAAGGCTCATGCATCTTTAAACTGCTTGGGCCTCTCATGCCCTCCAGTGTATTATCCGTGGTTGTAGAAGTCCTGTCTCTTTAGCTCCAGAAACTAAGGTTGGGAAGGCAACTTCATCCCTTCACCAGTTAATGCCCTTTATTCCCAGTCACCTTGGGTTTTTTTCTTCTTCCCTATAACAGTGATACAGCAATGACCCAGAGGAACAGCAGGACTCAAGAGTTTTGACAAGAAAGGGTAAGGCTAAGAGTGTTGTGTAAGCTAATGAGTATTTCCCATCTAGGTATCCTACCCCTCTATTATTTTCAGACCCTGCTTCATCTCTTCCCACTTTGCCCACACCATGAAAATAAATACAGCGTTTATCTCTCCACCTTCATATAGGGTAAAACGGCAGTCAAGACATTGAGTGCAAGCAGTAACAGGTAGTCACTAATCTGGCACTAGCAGAAAGACACAAATCAGTAGATAAGTTTGCCTTGGCATCACCATCTCTCAGATGGAGATAATAAATTATCTATTTTACGCGATTTTTGTGAGGTTTAACTGCAACACATTAACTCAGCTGCCTAATATCCATTTTTATGTATGACTCAGGAATTTACGGTAAGACAAAAATATGTTCATAAACATTTTCTGTGGGATGTAGGCATTTAAATTGCTTGAATATTTAAAAAATCCTAAGGAAGTGGGAAGTGCCTCATAAATGCTATGTACTACTACAAACAAGAAGTTGTTGTAAGGGAAGACGCTAATTGAAGACACAGGCTCAATATTGCTTTTTTCCTTTTCAAGGTGTGTCTTAAGCTCAAGATTATTTAAAATACCAGAATACCAGGTGTGGTGGGTCCACCCCAACCAGCAGCTAAGCACCCACACAGCCGCTAGCTCACCACCCCACCCCATCAGTATAGGGGAGTGAATAGGAAAACATTGCAAGCAGAGCTGGCTTCAGCAGAGCTTGCTTCAGTAGAGCTTGTACGAAACAAGGAGACATACGTTTACACTTGAATAGCTTTTTATATTATTGTAATTGTATAGATAATGATATAAAGTCATGTGTGAAAAGCTCACACCACTTTCCTTGAAGCTTTCTTTCCATTTACTTGAAAACGCCCCCAAGGGTGTGTGCATAACGGTTCCAGGTTATATTTGGTTGCTTCTAGACAGGACTGGTTGCCACCTTGTTCAATTTCCACAAATGCCTGTAATGCGAAACTGCCAGGAAAATGAGAGGAACTGAAAGTGACTTTTAGCGGAGAGTCTGCTTTTAAAGTTGACTGTGAAAAGGTTTTGTGAAAAAAGGTGACGCACAAGAGAATTGCAGAGCACCTGTACTGTTCCTTGACCTCAATAGGAATTGCAGGTGTTCACCACTTTCCCAGGACAGACCTTAAAATGCCAGTATCTCCTCATCTCATTGCTATGTAATGACTGTCCCCCCTGCAACTGGGCGGTGAAGAATGCACTGCAACATTGCAGAATCCATTTAGTGGAGGCTGCATCCTCAAATCGCAGTCTGTTGTGATCCTTTTGGCATTCATGCAGCTCACCTAGTGCAAGAAATACTGTTTATTGATCTGAGTGAGAAGGAAGAACAACAAGAACACATATATGTGAGGAAGCACGCATGTGATATCACCTCTGTCTATGACTTTGATGAGACACAGTACAATGCACTTGAATTAAGGCAGCATTTTATGGTGTGCCATCTAACTTGACTGAAAGTTTGAGAAGACAAAAATGGTGTGAGACTGCTTCACAGGCTGATGACTCCCCAAACTCCTTACGTCTTGTCTGACCCATATGAACAAGAATCAAACCCAAGCAATTAAAACATTAGATGAGGTCAGGACAGACAAGAGTAACATTAAATAATAAATAAAATCCCCGTCATTCTACAGTCTAACCTTAACATCTGGAGAAATTTCATGAGCTAGCTCTGAAGTGGAAGTCAAATGCAACAAATAAGTAATTTCAACGGCTGTATAGATTTTGGTCACAGCACGTATTTTTCTCCTGAAGTCGTGCACCTAGATTCTAGGTTTCAGTCTTTTGTTTTGGAAAGGTACACTGTCAAGATACTTTATAGCTAAAAAGCCAAGTCAGCAAATCCTTTTGTGAAACTGAAACCCATACAAGGATCCCAACAAAGTGCTGAACTGATTAATTAGCATGGCAGTACAGTAGGGACTACCCTGCTGGCAAAGAATGAGATGTAAGGCCAGATGCAACTGTCAGATATGCACTATGATACACTGAAATCTGTCCTATTAAAATGTGCCAATGTGCTCAATTATTTCTGCAACAAATCGAGACTCTCACATTAATAATTTCCATTTTGGGGGGAAAAAAAAAAGGTCATAAAAAAGGTCATGTTTGAAGCAGAATGCTGGCCTGCCTGGCAAAGTACTATTTTATCAAGTGCTATCTTAAAGTGAATAGTGATTCCTGCTCCTAATACACAGGTGGAGAGTCAGATTAACAAGACACAAATAGACTTTGGCAATGGCAGCAAGCACAAATTCAAGAATAGGGAAGCACAGCAGCTGATGCACAATCCAGTATTGGCTCATGGCTGACATGAGCGAAGAAACTCTGTGCCTGGAGACTAATATACACCCAATAAGAATCCAGCCCCTTGAAAAAATGTGGGGTCTCACCTTGTCCCTCACAGTCACATATACCAAATCGGGTCTCCTCAGAAGCAAAACATCCCCCAAACCCTGAGCTAACGGCTGTGGCTGCATGGTACCTGTATGCTCCCCCGGCTGTCCATGCCATCCCTTCGGCAGTGGGTGCAGCTGCTGCAGTCGCGTGGACCGCATGCATTGCTCCAGCACAGGGGCTCTCTGCTCAGCCAAGCTCAGCTAAAAGGGGCACGTGTCGCTGATATAACCCAGACTGTCTGCCGGGGAACTGGCACTCCCCAAAGGGCAGTCACAGCAATTGGTCTGGGCAGATCAACATCTTCAGCCACGTGTCTCTTTGCCCAGCAAACACATGCCTAAGCCTGCAGGCAGTGGCAAAAGCTCCACTCAGACACAGTGGTGATCTCCTCCTGTGCTTAGACAGGATCACTTCAACTGGAAAACAGAAAGGACATCAACATAAAGGAAAGCCCACACCACAAGAGGGGACTTGAAGTTTGACTCATTTATCCCAGCAAAGTCACACCGTAAATGCATCTTGAGGACAGCCAAATGGAGGGAGAACTGAAGGGGGACATCAGTGAAGGAGAAGTGGTACTTAAGCTAATGGACAACGTTGGCTTAAGATCAAATCGATAATAGTTGGCCATAAATAAATTTAGGGTAAGAATCAGAAAAAAAATCCCATCCTTCAAAGGATCCAGCTCTGGAACAGCTTCCCAAGAAGAGCCACGTAGGCTAAAAACCCCAAAGCTGACACAGTTTTACGAAGGAACTTGCTTACATTTTGAGCAGGATTTTTGATGTACTGCATTTCACATGAGAAAATACTCTTTAACACACCTGAGGCTCCTTCACGTCACATACTGACACATGTAATACACATACAAGGATTTGTAGCAGTTACTTCACAAAGCAGAGTTGAATTTAAACTATTTGTCCTAGAAAGATTAAATTGAGCTCTTGACCTTCATCAGAGGGTCTCCACGCTTCCTTCAACTGAATGCAAACTCTAGTGCTCAGGAACTTAATGTGGATTTGCAGCTGCCCCTGGAAGACTTTCGGCCTATATGCCCGCTACTGGCTTACATAATTCTACCTGATATTTAAAACTGCATGTGAAACCAATTCAGTGTGAATGTACAGAGATGTTTATGGGTCTGCATGGCAAGGTTTTGGTAGCAGGGGGGGTTACAGGGATGGCTTCTGTATGAAGTTGCTAGAAGTTTCCCCTATGTTGGATATAGCCAACGACAGCTGGCTTTAAGACGGACCCGCTGCTGGCCAAGGCCGAGCCAATCAGCGACAGTGTTTTTCGCCTCTGTGATAACGTATTTAAGAGAGTGAAAAAAGTTGTTGCGCAGCAGTAATTGCAGCAAGTGAGAGGAGTGAGAATATGTGAGAGAAACATCCTGCAGACACCAAGGTCAGTGAAGAAGGAGGGGAGGAGATGCTCCAAGGGCCGGAGCAGCAATTCCCCTGCAACCTGTGG